GGGAGCACAACTCTGTCCTAGATTGGTAGTCCCCAAAGGGAGCAGCATGCACCCGAGGGATGCATAAAAAAAAAATCCACTGGGGTACAGGAAAGAAAGTATTAGAATACTGTTGTTTTACCTTTGTCTCATTATTTTTATATTTCTATTTTGGAGTGTTTCACAATGTGTATAATCATATGAGAGTACATACATATACTTACTAACCATTGGGGGGGGTTCTATTTACCTTTACTACCAGTTCACAACGGGAGCAAGGATGCGCGCTTCTGCACAGAAGCATGCGAGATCATCATTAATGATGTCCGGGCGGGTGGGCGGAGCCTCCCGCACTATCAAAAGGTTTGAAGACCACTGCTCTAGAAAACTGGTGGTACTATTAAACTGCTCCTACCACTAGACCATTTCTTAATATTCAATAGAAACTTAACTTCCTGCAACTTAACTTGATGTGCATTCCCTTCCACTTTGGACAAAATAAAACAGCACTTCATCATCTTCCATGTGATATGCATTTTAGATTGCTAACAAATAATTTTTATGGCTGTAACTTTCCTGACAATAAGAGGGCCTTACAGCCTATCCAGTCTGTCATTCTCATTGACACATAATATTCAAAGCTACTGCATCTCCAAAACACTGTATAACAATCCAATCTCTGTTTGAAATCTTTCAATAAGGGAGAGCCACAGGACTTGTCTCTTAAAAGTATTATATTAAATCCTGCTTTTCAGAAGGCAAAGAACAAAATCTGTTCTCCTATAAGAAAACTATCCCATAGTTGAAAGGTGTTACCATATTCATTCTGGGCTACTTATGTCAACCATCTATTATGGAATATATTTCCACTGCTCTCTTCCAGACCTATTCCAGTTTTTTCTACAGTACACCTTTATTAAAGATCTAGTACACACATCACATCAAAAATAATGCAGTTTATTTAGCTGTGGCATTAACCATGCAGTTAGTTTGTAAACCATGGTTTTATGACTAAGCATGCTGTGCAAACTCAATTGTGATTTATGAATAACTCAGGCTTAAGCATATAATGGCTTCTTATGTCAGTACAACATGAGGTAACCAATGATTTTTTTAAAAATCTTATTAGCTGGAGAATTCACACACACTGAATTCAGCTCCCAAATCTGCTTTGTCAAAATGCATTAAATTGCAGAGATATACTAGAAGATAAAAGGGTGTTTGTGATTCTGCCAAAAGCACAGGATTTCATAAAATCAAGCACTTCACTCTTGTCTGATTTCAAAGTGAAACTCTGGCTCATGACAAATTCCTTTTAAAGGCCCTGGTAACAATATGATTATTTATAAGCTTTTCTTACCATAAACCCAAGTTCATAAACCAAAATCATCACAGATAACATTCTATTTAAACACACACACACATACATACACACTGACATACATTTACATACAGACACACAAACATATCTATTCTATAAATTTTACAGAGCTTTCTTCAAAATGGAAATAAAAAATGGAAATTACACATCTTCGTGTAATACATGAACCTGAAAATAACAAGGAGCTGAAATAGTCATTTTCTGAGGAAGAGAGGGAGAAAGCCATGGGTATATTTGTAAAAAGCACATTAAAAACTTACTAATACTAACTGGCTGTGTTGCTAAAAAGTGAGTTATAGTCAATTAGGAACAGTCAGACCAAAATTCTGAACTCCATTTGTTAATGAATTACAAATTAGCCTCATATAGATGTTAGATGCAAACAGGACTGCAATCTTTAAGGATGACTTCTGTGCAGGTCTATTTCGAAATCAGTTTCATTTTAATTCAGTAGAGCTTATTCACAGATATAAGACTGCAGCAATCCCACACTGATGCTTACCTGGAAAGGAAGCACCATTGATCTGAGCTCCCACGTGAACAGGCACATAGGACTGTATTGTCAGGAAATTCAAAAGGCTTCAGTAATCAAGCAAGCAAAATGCAATTTAATGCATGTTAATTACTTTTAAATTAGTATTCATTTAAAAGCAAAAGGTACAGTTATCACAAAAAGGTCATTTAAAATCTATTCATGTAGCCTTTGTCTTCAGATGTGAGATATGGCAGTGGAGAGCATCTGTCAATGTGAGGAAAATCTTCTGTGACAATCCATTCTGGCTGGTTTTTTTAAACTCATGAATCAAATAAAATTATGGTTCAGCACAATGTCTACACTACCAATTCATTATTATCATGATGCTTATATTAGCATTATGTCTATTCACATTATAGAACATATTTTGCATAATTGGGGCTTAGCATATGTTAAAATAGCCACAGCGAGCTGTTATTGTGTATGGATACTACTGTACAAAAATGCATGGGCATACACAGAAGTAGCTGAGAAGAGCATCCAAACTGGGGCCATACTATATAGATCAATCTTAAGGCTGAATATATAAAATGCATTTATGTACAACTTCAGGCTACTTTCCCTTAAGTCCTGATTGCTTGAAATTAACTTTCCCCAACTCTGGCTAGGGACAGTGTAAACTGCAGGTGAATACATTTGGAGGTTACCAGGCTGAGAAAAACTGATTTAGATTTAAAAAAAAGAAAAAAGGTGTATCAACTTCAACTTCCTTGTTCACATACAGGTAGTCCTTGACCTACAACTGCAATTGAGCACGAAATTTATTTTGCTAAGCGAGACAGTTAAGCAAATTGTGCCCTATTTTATGACCTTTCCTGCCACAGTTGTTTAAGTGAATCACCTCAGTTGTTAAGTGAGCATCACTGCTGTTAATGCAATCTGGCTTCCCCATTGACTTTGCTTGTCAGAAGGTTGCAAAATGTAATCCATGACCCCAGGGCACTGAAACCGTCATAAATATGAACCAGTTGCCAAGAATCTTTGTATTTTGATCATGGTTGGTGCAGTGGTTCTAAATGCAAAAAACTGTCATAAGCCACTTTTTTCAGTGCAGTTGTAACTTTGAACTGTCGCTCAACAAATGGCTGTAGGTCAAGGACTACCTATAGTGCACGGGTATCAAACTCGCAAGTCACGTTGTTGTCATGTGACATACTGTGACTTCCCCCCCTTCACTAAACCGGGGTGGGCGTGGCCAGTATGTGATGCATCCAGCCCGAGGGCCGAGCGTGGCTAACAGGGGCCTCTAGGAAGCTCATAACCAGAAGACAACAGTTGTTGTCATCTCCACAGTTGGCCTAAAGAAGTATGGCCCAGAGCAATGTTTTTCAACCTCCGACATTTTTAACTGTGAACCTTGAGTTCCAGAACACCCCAGCCAGCAACACTGGGGATGGGTTCCGAAACTCTTGGGAATAAAGCAATGGCTTGTTGTTTAAGTAAAAAGGTATCCAATTCCTCCAATCACCAGATTGCTTTAGCATATTGTCATTAGTACAGAATATTGTTTTTATATCAACTACTAGGCTATAATTTAGCTAGAATTATTCAAATCAGTAAGGGCAAATTAATAGCGACTCTGCTTTACTGTAATAGTAAAAGCAAAGCCTAGATTCAGCTCTGTTATCTATCATCAGTTTATGAAACTGACCAATGGATGAAAATAAAATGTTTCTCAAGGAAAAAGGAAATGTTTTCCATAAGCACTGGGGGAAGGGGGGGTGGGCTTTTGTGCAGGAAAACAAAAAACGCTAATACAGTAGGAAGGCCAGCTGCCACATGTTTAGAACTATCTGTATTACAAAAAAAAAGAAAACCCAAAAAATAAAAAAACAAAAAACAAAAAAAACCCCAGTGGAACCATTTTTAAAAATTTTGTGACTTCACACCACAATACTTTTCAGCAATTATCGGCCAAAAGTTGCATAAAACATATCCTCTTGATAGTATGTTGGGAATCATTGCATTACAATACTCAGAACTACACACAGTCTTTTGATTCTATTGATGCCACGCACAGAAGAAGGATCTTGAATCAAACTTCCCAGTCTCTCGAAACAAGGCATACTGTAGCCTCGGGGCTGACATTTCATATTCCTCTTTTATTTAAAAAACAAAACAAAAAACCTCAACCATATTATCTTCTCAATTTTCAGGGACTGAATCTGACTCATGTCTCCGGGAAGAAGAAAAAAGTGCATCCATCTTACTTTAAGTGTCTCTTTGCTTGGTCGAATACGAAGCAGCAGACGCCATAGGGAAAAGAAGCATGGGTGTGCGGGAGTTAGGGAGTGGCCAAGATGCAAATCTCTAGCTTTCCAATTTCCCACCGATTGCAAGCAGGTACAGCAGCGCGTTATCAAGTGTCAGATCCACGCAGATGGGTACCTTGCCAGCCCGCACACAAACTTAAGAGCTTGTACATACATAGACACGCACTATATTTAAAATATGACACACGGTCGTTTCAGTTTTAATTGCCGTCCTTCGAGACATTCGCCTGCACACGATTTCAGTTTTAAGCAACTAACCGCCCAAGGAAATTCTAAGCAATAAGGACATTTTTTTTTTTTTAAACTGCCAACCTTGGTGCTCTGCTCTTTTCCTACTGGGATATCTTGCAGCAAGGAGGAGGAGGAGGAGGAGGCAGGGAGGGCCTCGCCTACTTAACCGTACACACCGAAAGTAACTAAACTGCAAACTTAAAAAAAAAAAAAAAAGTTGAGCTTGTAGGTTAATGAAAGAATGGAAGTTCTTAAGCGTTTGCCTACCTGGTGCAACTCTGCAACAAGTGCATGCAGGTCCAAGATCACTGTAGGGCGCAATTTTTTTTCCCTTAATTTGTTTTGCACCGATAAGGCAATTGCAATTTTAATTTACTACAGTGCTATTTACTGGGGTCCTACTTTGCTTACATTACAGCTCATCCTGTAAACAAATATCGCTCCGCCAGGAAATATACTCAACCCCCCCCCCCTTCGCTTCTTCCCTCCAAGAGCAGCGCGCGATGTACCCTCCCCTTGGCGATTGCGTCTGGGGAGGGTGGAATAACTAATTGCAAGATCACGCGGGGGGGGAGGGGGCACTCAAGGGAGTTAGACTTACCTTTTCAAGAAATTCCATGCGTGCTTCGTATAATGGAGCTCTGCCCCCTCCCCCCCATCCCGGGTACAAAATTCCAGTGTCAGCAAAACGCTGTCAAATTATTTTCGTGCAAAAAAAAAAGGGGGGGGAGAGCAGAAGCAAAAAAAAAAAAGGGGGAGGAGGCTAGAAGAGAAAATTGAATCCCTCCGCCGAGATGGGTTTGGTCCTGAGTTTGCAAACCCGGAAGTAAGGTATCAGCAGCGGTTGCTGCTGTAGTAATAGCTCTAGTAATAATAATAGCTTGGAACCCCTCGGTGGAGTACTGTATCCTACGTAAGGTGCCGTTTCCTATTATAGCTATTACAGGACCCGGTGCTAGGTAGCTTCTAGTAGAGTCCCTTACCAGGGAATCGCATTGGTAATCCTAAAGGATTAGGGGTGCGGTTCCGTTACCCCATATCTCGCTCCTTCCTAAAAGCTGTAGATCCACCACACGAAATTAAGCCTGCTTTCTGGAGCTCTCCCGACCTGTAAGCGGCCCCGGCTCGGCGTGCTACACCGAGAAGGATCTCGGGCTAATTCCGGGCTCGCAAGAGTCAAAAAGAACTGCGTGGATGTCGCACCGCTTCCTCCTTTGGCAGCTCGTAACTAGATTTTAGAGGGGCCCTTAGAAGCTTTCTTGAATCCGACCGGTTGGGGTTGCTTTCATGTAAAGGTCTACTCTAAAGCACACGCCGGGAGGGGTAGGGACGAGGGGGTGGTGGATTTGACTAGATCCCGGTGTTATCCTGTGCACGTTACTCGAAAGTAAACCCCGTCCATGCTGCACAGGGCGCAGTCTCGGATGAATTTATATTTGACTGCAGCAAAAAAGAAAATAAAAGGGGCCTTTTCTCCCCATAATGCACCACAAGCTGGGCTGGAGGATCTCCAGGCACCTGAAAGTAAGTCCCATAGATTACCCCGAAGCTTTACTCGCTAGTAAGCCTAATTCAAATCAAATCATAGAAAGGCCGGACTCGGATATGTGCTTAGTTTTTCCCTTTCACTCCCAAGTAGTAACGTGTGAGCCTAAGAAGGGTGCTCTCCTGTGCTGCACGCTTTTTTTTTCCCTTTCTTTCTTTTCACAACGCCATGACTGCAAAACGTGTGGAAGGAGGAGGAGGGGAGTGAAATACGTAGCTGGGACCGCTCCTGGGAGCGCCCCCAACCGGCTTGTAGTTGGCGCTGCGTTTCCCGGTTTCTTGCTCCCTCTCTCCCCAAGCCCTTCTCAAACGCGGCGAAAGAAAAGTTGTATTAATTATAGCCAATCGCCTTTCTCGTGGTTCTTTTTTTTTTCCTTCCCGTCCGCTATGCTGCAGTAAAAGGAAGTCCACTTCTCGCTAAATGTGGTCGGATAGAGTGGAACTGAAAGCCTTCGAGGCGGCTCGTTTTCAGACGTGATGTGCTTTTTCTCCTCGTAAGATTCCCGTGCTTTAATTTCAGAGCAGAACAAGTATCGTTTTAGTAGCCGAAGAATTAATTTGTACATGTCCGGTCACGGTGGCGGTCAAAAGTACGGAATTTGCTGTCAAATTGCAGTCAAACTATGACAGCCGTGTGGTGTGTTTAACTCCTTTCATCACTGGTAGGTAGCATCAACTTCTCTAGAATTTGAACAGAATTAGGGGTAACTTGGATCTAACTCAAACGTGTGCCTCCACTATATATACTTAAATATTGGCTACCAGTACAACATCATCTCATGGTATGTTTTACAACAGTCTTTGAAAATAAATTCCCAAGTTCCTTGCCTGCATAAGGTTGTATTAGTTTGACTCAGACCAGTACAGGAGGGGGAAGGAAACCCCCCAGCCTTGGCCTTCCCTCGATAATACTATGTAAGAGCATCTGTACTGAATGCTGAAGACCAACCAATGATCCCTATGATAGGTCACTTCCCTGCATGTAGTTCCCTGTGGCTGGAGATATTTCTCACAGGGAGGGACTACTCAGGGTACCATCAGCCAAATTATGTCGACTGGCGACTCCCAGGGGGAGGGCCTTCTCTGTGGGGGCTCCAACCCTTTGGAATGAACTGCCCCCGGAGATACGGAATATCCCTGATCTCCGTGCTTTCCGCAGTGCCCTCAAGACCCTGATGTTCCAACAGGCAGGGCTAAACATACAAACATACAAATGATTTTTTAAATGTTATCTAATTCTGGGTTTTATTTAATTGACCAAACTAAGTGGCAATTTTAATTAGCAATTTTGTGGTGTTTGTGTGTCTATGTTTTTCTTGACTGTACACCGCCTTGAGTCCTACGGGAGAATGGCAGTATAGAAATATAATAAATAAATAAATAAATAAATAAATAAATAAATAAATAAATATTGGGCAGGTGGTCCATCAAGGCATATAGCTCTGATTATGAGAAATTGGCAGCTGGGATAATTTTTTTTGTGTTCACAAAAACGCTCTTCAATTAGTCATTGAGATGGAGGTTGTTGTGCAAACACCACAAGGTGTTCCAGTAACCCCAAAAAAACGGTCTCTCTATCCTCAGTTATCTCTTCAAACCAGTGACAAGGGTTAAGAAAATCTTGCAAATCTGTAGCTTTCCTAAGTGCTCCATCTCTGTTACCTTTTTTTAAACTTTCCTTACCCCCATGGGAAAGACTGTGTGTGATTCTTAATGTTTCTGACCTCAACTGGCATACTGAAGAATTTTCTTAAAGTTAACTAGGGGTGGAAAGGTTCTGATGTACTCTATGGTGGCTGGAGGCCTTTAAAGATAGTTGTTGCACTTTCTGTTTGGGTATAAAGTGAGTTAATTGTCATAGTTGACTCTGTCATGTTTTCCTATTTGCAGTAGGAAATAGGAGATCTAGACAATATTTTTGATCATCAATAATCAAAGGCTGATATCCAAAGAAGGTGTTCAAGTCTTAAAACAATTCCTGATATCAGTTATGGACTTGATAAAGGAAGGCAAATTGATACTTGATTCAGATTGAACAAAGATGTTCTCAGTCAGGAGAAAGAGCAAGGAATAATTAGATTCTTGATTACCATTTAGAGGGAAAGGCAGGATATACAGCATACATTTTTCCCTGGCTTCCTTCAACTATCTAGTACCACTTTGTTTAGTTCATAGCTCACCCAAGAAACTTGTTACAGAAACATAGCTTGAGATGGAGAGAACCCAAACAGGAAGAAAAAGAAGAAAACTTGCTGCCTTGTATAATTTTGCATCCCATCCTCCTGCAATCCGTAATAAATTGCTCTGCTTATACAGCCCTCTTCTACTTTTTGTTTAAATATAGCAGGAAATGCCCATTACATCAGAAGATTGGGTAACGCTGGGCTTAATTGACTGGAATATTGTGATCTATTACTTATATGCCCCCCTCATACCTAATACAAGATTAATGGAATAACTAGGGATGTGTAGAGTTTCAAATCTGGAATGAAAAACTGCATCATAGCAACTGTGGCAATATTATAGTGATGGCAAATGTAACACGACCTTAGAAAGAAAGTAGGAGAAGCAAAATAGTTATTAAGTCCTGGGAAAGTAGAAGCATGAGAAAAAAGACTAGGGACTCAACTTGAACACGTTGACCTCAAAAAGGTGCTAGCGAAGGTTTTGAACACACTTTCAAGTTTCTGTTAAAAGATGCTACAAGAATAAAGTAGCATTTCTGAAAATCCAGCAGCATCTGTTTTTTTGATGTGGACTATCTGGAAAGTCTTATAGTCATTTATTTTGTGACCAAAATGTGACCAAAAGAAAAAACAGGAAGGACTTCCAGTGGCTCCGCGCTCCCCGAATGGATCCTCCTTTAGGAGCTCCAGCCCCGTGATTCTGTTTGCCGCTAGAACAGCGAAGATCAGCTGTTCTAGCTACTCGAAACTCTCCCCAAGGGAAAAAGGGGGAGAGAAGAGCAGAAGGGTCTGGGTAAAGCTCCCCTAGACCCCCAGGCTTTTTTTTTTTAAGCCTGGGGTTTGCAGGGTGAGAGCTCCCTGAAAGCCCTTCAGTGCTCCGGATCCAGGACGACTCTGCTCTAAGCAGAACAAGGGGTCGGGACCACACCAGCAGCGCAATTTTAAGGACTATGAGAAAATTCGAACCTGGATGCTGGCAGAGCAAATCAGGAGAACAGAAAATGCAAGTATTAAACTTTAACTCCATTTAAAAGAAAAAGGAAAAAAGATGGCGCTTAAGGGCGTTTAAAATGAAACATACAAGTGAAAGTGATCGTTAAAGCTGCAACATTGTAAAAGCCACCGGATTACGTGGCAAGAAAAAGATTTAAAGTGCTAGTGAAATGAAAAAGACTATGGTATTGACCTTAACTACTTTATACTTCTAAATTGTGTGGAAAATTATTGGATTTATTGACCTGATAGCTGAACAAACTTAAACTGGGAATTGAAATATGGTTGACATCAAGGATGGAGGATCATTACTATATGAGCTAGCAAATTTATAAGTTGTGACTCTAGAGGTTTTACAAGAACTTTTAAATTTCTATACTTCTGCTATACTGGAATCAATTGAAAGGACTATTCAAAATTATAATCTGGAGAACAAAAATGATTGCTGGCTGGAAAAGAGGAAGAAAATCAAACTAACTTGTCTTTGGAGCAGGGAAAAGAGACTGTCAGGAACACAATGGAAGTTCCCACATTGAAAACAGAGGTTTTGGCAGAGGCTTCTATGCAGTTAATTGAAAAGCAGCAAATAGACTCTTTCTTGCAGACTGATAAACTTTATTGTGACAATTCTTGGTTTTATAGACAGAATCAACTTTTAAGAGAGGAAGTGACTGATTATATAAGCAGGAAGAGTCAAAATGGAGGTTTCAAAATGAAGGAGATAACTTTTAGGAGAGAGAGATCTTCAAAGATGCATCAGTCTCAAATCTACATTCAAAAATTTTCGAAAATAAAAGCGGGGAGGAGCAATGCTGAAGGAGAAAGTATTATTGAAGATGAAGGATTGGAAAAAATATAGAAAGAAAGGGAGAATTGAAGATTAATTTCTTTTGGGGAGGATTTTAATAATAAATTTGAAAAGTCTATTGAAATTAGCATTTTTTTTTAAGTTTAAGTAAAAATGTTTAACTAAAAATGGATAGCTTTTTAAAAAAATGACTGGTATTAAAATGGTTAACTTTAAAGGGAATGGATAGTTTTCTGAAAGTTTTGAAATTGATATTTTAAAGAATGAATTTAAGAGTTAAAAATAATTAAACTCAATGGATTAATAGTATCTTTAAGGTTATATTTTGAAGAATATTCTATTGAAGTATTTTTTTGAGAGAGAAAGAAAAGAAAAAAGAAAAAGAACTTAACGAAGTACTAAAATGGTTAATTTAAAATTGAATGGATACAAAATATTTTCTTTTTTTTCTTTTTCTTAAAGAGATATGCTTTAAAGAAAGTTTTAAAATGTTTAAATTAGAATTTTAAAAGGAGAGGCTGATGAACAATTTTTAAAAGAGGAGTTAAAGAGGGTGAGGGAGTTTTGAATCTTGTAGCAAGTTAGCATATTTTAGCTTATGTTTAGTTTAATGCTATACCTGTTTTTGCTTTGGGAAATTGGGGGTGGGGGTGGGGAGGAGGGGTTGAAGGTTGTGTGGGGATAAAATGGTTGTCTAATTTTTAATATAATTAAGAAATAGATTAAGGTATTAATAGAGAAGTAAGAAAAATGGGGGAATGTTATAATAAAGGGAATGACAATATTAAGATATGATAAATATTGGAGGAGTAAAAAGAAAATTTAAAAGATGTATTCAGAAGATATATTGAATGATTGATTATGTATTTGTTTGTTTACAATATTAAGATATGATAAATATTGGAGGAGCAAAAAGAAGATTTAAAAGATCTATTCAGAAGATATATTGAATGATTGATTATGTATTGTTTGTTATAAAATAAAAAAAAACTTTGTTTAAAAAAAAAAGAAAAAACAGGAAAAAGACACATGTCAGACTTCATAACAATATAAAGTTAATTCAGTTCTTAAGGTTATCAATAAATCTAGTCTACATCACAACATATTGGGTTATATTCTCAGTTTTATGAAAGATACTTTTAAAAAATAGATAATAAATGTGTATCCTGAATCCATGCAATAACATCAGGGAAATAAGTTTCTTTCCAATTATATAAATCTTTCATCTGTACCTCCAGCTAGATACAGTCAAAATTCTTGATGAGATTACATTTGCCATGTTTTGAGAATATAGTTCATCATACTGTACACTAATAGGCAGAAGGAAGAAATAACCTCAAGAAACAAAGAGGAGTAGCCACAACCAAGACAGCAGTCAGATTAAAAAAAAAAATCCAGGCCAGAACTATAACCTGAAAATAAACATCTCAGTCAAGACCCTCTGTATTCTCACAAAAAAAAAAAAAAGGGGGGGGGGGGGGGAGGCTGGGAAGATTTTGTTACCTTATAATGAAAGTAGTATTAGCATGCATGACCTTGGTTTCCTAATCTGGCCTGACACATAATGAAATCCTTAAGTATATTTCTGGTCAAAATATTGACATATGCAGTAATTTGAAACCAAAACAAAATAGTAGTTAGATAAGACTGTATCATATGAGTTAAAATCCTTTAT